CCTACCGCCGTACCTCACGCGTCCTCACGTTCCCCTCGCACCGCGGTAGTGCTGGCCAATCGCGCGGCTCGCCTTCCGATCGGACGCGCCGACAGGCGCCGCCCCCGGAGACCGCCTCATAACCGCCTCTCTCACTCCCGCGGACTCCCGCGAGACCGCGCGTCTCGCTTTGTCTCGCCGTCCGAGAAGGAGAGAATTCTCTCTCTCGTGGCATCGGCCCCGGCGAGGCCCACCGATCGGCCTCCCGAAACGGCGATCCGCTGATGATGATGAGAGGAGGCCGCGCTTTGCTGATGGCGGAGGTGGTGGTGGTAGTTGTTCTATCGTTATACTAGTATCGCCGAGCGGAGGTGGAGAGCACCGCGGCGACGACGACGACGACGACGATGACGACGACGACGTCGACGACGATCACGGGGACGGTGCTCTCTCTTTCCGCAGATATCACGTAGGAATCAATGCATTCTAGGAAAGAATCGCGCGACCTGTACCCTACGAAAGTAGGTTGTATCTATGTGAGCGGTGAGATTTAAACGAGTGGGTAACGGGAAGATATTTTTTGAGAGCACGATCCAAGAGATGTACGATATCTCTAGGTGGTTCCAGAACATCTTCAAGATAAATGTCATACAACCGTCGATGCGAAGTCTTTAGTGATTTCTCTGATGAAGCATTTAAAATTTAAAATTAATGTGGGGACTTAATATTTGTATCTTTCGCAAGTTCTTTCAAGTAAAAAGTTAGAATCGAAATAGACGAGCTCGAATAGACTCGACTCGATTCCTTTACAACGACGTATAGAGACGTAAAAAGCGTGTAGCGTTTAGTTGGTGGATGCTATGAAAAAAGTTGGGTAAATTTATTCTTTTACAGCTGGTGTAAGTGAGTTCAACGAACGCTGGCGGCAGCGGCGTCAAGAGACTTCTACAGACATGAACGGCGTTTTTGAACTTCTCGTCTCTCGCACATTAAGTGCAAAGATCTTATTGCACCTGCGCACAATAACGATTGTCCTGATAGCGGCGAGACGGACGAGTAGAAACGTGCGCTCTAACCGTATCTTCTAAATGAGTCTGGCTACACCACATTACACAGGTCGATTACTCGCGGCATTCTTCTCGGAGACAGCTGTAATAAATTAGTGCCGTAAGTTGACGAATGAATGATATTTTACGCCGAGTCTAGGATACATTTCTCAAAAGCTAGCACGTGTGAAATCTCACGTTTTTAGCACATATTATCCATAACAATTTTAGAATCACTAATTCGGCGAGGTAAAAACTAACGGCGCGAAAACTCGTAAGACGAACGGTAAGTATTTGAGCGATCTTTTTTGGAAGCGTAATAATGAATATTTATCAAGGTACAAGAAGCTATGTTCTTTATCTTTGAATTATTTCTGAAATAAGAAAGGAGCACGAACGTCTTTTCGACGTACGAGGTTTGGGAAGTAGACCCAGAATAGACATCCATAGTTGCAGAGATAGATGGCTGTAATAGAAACTGTATTAAAATATTTATCGCTACAGCAATATCCCAAAGTAGAAGTATATGATCGCGATCTTAAACGGCTATCTTCGCCGACTATCTAAATATGCTGCTGCTGTAGTAATATCGTTCTCTCTCTGGAGCAATCGCGACGGGTGGGCTCTCCTCCACTATTTATTCTGGTATCGGCCTATTCACCGGCGAGAGTAGCCCAGTAGATTATTCATCGTATTAACAACAATCTCGCAAGCCGCACCCCAAAGGGATTGTCCTCCCTTTCTTTTTCTGGCAGCGGCACGTGGCAGTGTAATTGGGTATGCAAAGAGCAGACGATTATTAAACGTCGACGCGGTTTTACCGTCTGCCGTGTCCTGGAGGCTAACAAGACGGTATTGACGATCGAATTTGGGCAGTCGTGCCTCGATAACGGAGTTATGAGCACGACGTCGACGGTGCCGGCCGGGAAAGATGGCGGTTTTAATTGAATTAAGGCTACAAAGAGAGACGGTCCTCCGCGTTCGACCCTTACGAGAGACCCGTCGGCCGGACTCCCTTAACTGGCTATTAACTCGAATTTTGGTAATAGCGAGCGTTATGTTTTAGGACGGTCGACTGTCTAAAAATCCCTTATTAACGATTGCGTTGGATGATTCCGTGAAATTTTATGCTAAACCGAGAGAATATTTCCTAAGATTTGTAGAGATGACGAATAAGTCAGTGTAGTGTTTAATCAGCTAGAAATCGGCAAACATTATTTAGTTATTGATGTCTTAAGAATTAGCGAAAGATAATATCCAATCCGAAAAGATTTCTTCAAGTTTCAGAAAAGAACTTCCTGGTGAATATTCAACATAATATTTTATCAGAAATCGGTAGGTGTTATTTATTAACTGATGTTTTAAGAATTAGCGAAAGTTTATAGCTGTGCGTTTGACAGAAAAAACAGCTTTGCAACTGTTGTAAGATTCTTTAATATGACTCCTACTCTTAGATTTTCACTGAATCTAAACGTATAATCAATTATATTAAAGAATCGTACAATTATAAAATTGCTTTTTCTACTGAATGCAGTTATGTCCAATAAAATTTCGAAATGATCACTTCAAGTTTTAGAAAAGAACTTTTTCATCATTGAATATATTTATAGTATAATATTTAATAAAATAGAAATCGGCAAGCACTATTTAATATTTTAAGAATTAGCGAAAGTTAGTTCAATCAAATTTCGAAGAGATTTTACTTTAAATTCCAGAAAAGAACTTCCTCATCGTTGAATATGCCTGCTACGTTATACTTCATCTAAAAAAGAAAGGCGATGATAAAACCGTGAGAAAGGATTAATGAAAATTTTGCTTTTAGTAGAGGTAACGCCAGCTGTAATTATAGTAATGATACTAAAAATAAAAAATCGCAAACGGATTGGTCTCGTTAGAAGCATAAATCCGGAAAATTCGCTTTTCTCGATACATAGATTTACCGGCGTACTGCGGATTCGTCGTAAAGAATGCAGAGTAGTCTCTAACTCGATTTCGGTTCCCGCTCGAAACCCGCTGCCCCATTCCCGTTCCCCTGGCCGCGTCCCTTTACCAGATCGGGGTGGGTGTAAAACTGTATGCGCGATATTAGAAGCGTAAAAAACGGGGGTAACGGTGGCGATGCCGAATGGCGAATGAGTCGGATATATGCGGACGAATAACGACGCCCGCGAGGCTTTCTGATGAAGGAATATCGCCCGTCCTTTACGGTCCACAGCGCATATAAACACGCCGCATGCGTTATTCTTCCGATTCAAGCTGCGACTTTTTTCTTCGTTTTGACATGCGACCATTATTGCTAAGGTTGTGCGAATATTAATTGTTTTGCAGTTTCAAGTAGACGTTGTCCGCGCATTTCTGCAAGGAAAGAACGATTTTCTGAATTATCTAAACATTTAACTGGACACAGATCTGAAAATAATTTTGTTGAACAATCACAATAATTATACGAAAAACTCAAACACGATGAGCAATGCTGCAAAAAGTTTTGATGTTCTAACAATCAGCAAGAACAATTTTGTTGCAGTATATCTAAGAAATTTAAGAATTTAGATAGATACAGATCTAAAAATAATTTTGTTGGACCATCAAAAGAAAGTATTAAAATATAGAAAATTGAAAAATTCAAATATGATGTCAACAGCAAAATTTTTGACATTTAACAATCAGTTTGAGTATCCTACATAATTATTTTGATAACCCAACAAAATTATATTTTCAGATCTGTATCTAGCTAAATTTTTAGATACTTCAACAAAACCGTTCATTCCGTGCATGCAAATTATTCGCATATACCCGTTAGGCGAATAAATAAATTGGGAGTATTGAATGATCCCAAAGGGATCATAAAGCTTGGAAAATACAAAGTAAAAAGTTCGATCGTGGGTAGAAACTCGAAATATAATTTATTTATCAAGATCCATACAGATTTACAAATTTCATCGCGATTTATTATACGATAATAAAAGTCAGGTAAGAATTCGTAAAAATTTATTTGTAGAAAATAAATATCGTCGAGATGACATCTATTTTCTATACAATTCTATTAGAATTTATTGCACAAATAGAAACTTAGTTGTCAGAACAGCAGAATGATGTTCTGTATACTTTGCAGCGAAAATACAGGGCCGTTGTAAAAGCGCGAATACGTATGTATGACTTACATTTACCGTCGCAACAACTTTAGTTGCTGTTACTCGAACAGCAAATATGTAATATCAAGCTTGATGTTACCGTAACACGGTTGATGTCGGCGTATTTACAAAATACGGACGTTACGCCTACAACAACTGCAAGCTTTTCTACTACATGGAACAATTTTGCTAAAATATCTAAAAATTTAGGTAGATGCAGATCTGAAAAATAATTTTGTTAGACTGAAAATACTTCGAAATAATTATACAGAACGCTTAAACGTTGATGATAATAGTGCAAAAAATTTCAATATTCCAGCTATCAGCTATTTAAGCATTCTGCATAATTATTTTGATGGTACAGACAAAATTATTTTCAGATCTGTATCTTATAGTTAAATTTTCAAATATTTCAGTAAAATCGTTCCGTGCAGTTCTGCCGAATTTTCCGGTTAGTTTTCAAAAGAGAAACGTCGTTTCTTATCTTAAATAATTAACGCAACAGTAATTCTACTGATTTTTTCGCAAATCAAAATGTCATTTTGAAAAAAAGAGAAATATTTACAGGACAGTATTCGCTAAGCCATGGATCATCACGAGGGCGACGAACGGCAACGGGGGTGGCACTGGCCATAACGTCCGCATTTCTCATATCGTTGATACTTTCACCCCT